GACTATTTACCATTTACTTAGTGACGAGAGCCATGATGTTTAATTTTACATTACTTTTAATTTTTTTTCTGTATTTTAATATCATCACACCTGCTTCTGCACAGTGGATTTTTAAAGTACTGGTAATGTGTTGTACCATTTAAAATAAATATATATGTATAAAAAATGCAAAGTCATAGTTTTGTTGTATAAACATTGGCTTGGTTTGTCTTTTAGGCAGCTGGGTAACACATGTATGCATATTTTTAACCACAAAATTGGGTTTTATCTGCCGGACATGTTTTGTCCCTTCTCTCAAGAATCACTGCTACAATTAATCCAGGCCATCCGTCAGCTCTTTGTTACTATGGAAACATGGCTCGAACAATTTCTCTTCACGATGTAATCCGATAACAACGATCTCTTTACCGTCGGCTTCCCGTGGCTGTCATGTGACCGGCTACTGCAGCTAATAACACAACAGCTTCTTGACATTCTTTGTGTTTCTTTTTATCGCTGTGACTGATTTCACGTGAAAGCCTGCGTGCGCTAGTACCTCTTGCCACGAGTTCCCAGAATCCTTTGCGGTTTTACCCCTGAATGACGTCACATTTTGAACTCACTTTCACAGCGCGTCTGCAGGCAGCGAGCGCTCCGTTCAGCACCGACATCACGCCCTCAACTTCAGGCTCACTCTCTGATTGGCTGATCGCAGCCTCTCTCTTCGTCCTCATTTGCCCCAGATGAGGAGGGGGCGTGGCCACGGCACCAGGTGGAGGTCCAGCTGGGAGAAACCAAACAACAAATGTCTCAGCTGTCAGGCGTAAACTCACCATCTCATTAGAAACCTTTCTTACCTGGGTTGAGTAGAGGCGGAGCTACAGCACAGGGAGGTGGTGCGAGAGGGTTGGAGGAGGGAGGGGCTGCAGGTGGGGCTCCTGCACCTGTAGGTGAAGGTCATTATTAAGTATGCGGTTGTAGTTGTTAGCAGCAGGTGGATCAGCTGACTGTTAGTGATGTCCAGCTGTTCAGGTTGTTTTATTGCTTTAATTCATTTATTATCAACAATATAAAATTATGGACAAAATTAATTACTGATGTGCTTTTATTTATTCACCACATAAAATGTAAAAAATAAATTATAAAATCCAAACCCAACTATTTATAATTCTACTGTTAACTATTTAACAACACGAAACACTGCAAACCAAAACACAACACAATATGAATGAAAATATGCAAAACAAAAAGCAGACGTTCTCTGTCACACAGGCCTGCGAGTGTGTTCCTGTTTGCAAACTTTCTGAATGCTTTAACATCCGCAACTGAAAATAGTTGGAAACCAAACGCAGTCATGTTTGTCAGGTCTGTATCAGCTGAGTTGTGTCGTGCTGGGTCACAGACGTCTGCAAACATAGAGCTCAGGGTTGGTTCAGGGTTGTGATGGTGCTGCTGCAGACACACTGGCACCTTCACTAATATCACACTCAGCTGACGGTGTTTTATCCCCCCCCCCCCCTTGCACTGATGGGTGGACAGTTGTCAGGAGGCTGTGCAGGTTGTTGTGCGGCTCTGTGTGACAGTGTCTGCGTGCAGACTCACACTCTGCCTTTGTGTGTCAGTAAAACTGAAACGGGTCCAGATTTTGCTTCTTTTCTTGTGTCACTCATGTTCGACCTTTCTAATGTCACCATGTCGTCTCTTGTTGTTGCCCCCGGCTCTCTTTCTCCCTCCCGCTCTGCTCCTGTGCTACTGTGCGTGTAACTACCGCCCCTCCCCCCTCTGCTCACCGCAAACACAAGGCTCACGTGCGGCGTGAAGCGAAAAAAAGTGCGGCTCCCAATAAGAGCCGTTTGGTTATCGACCGGCACATCACTACTGTTCGTACCTGAGGTCGGCGCTGGAGGCGGTCTCTTGTTGAGGAGGTTCCTCTGTGGTCCGTGGTTCATCTGAAGGCCATAGGAGAACTGAGGGGGGTCGTTCCAGCCCCGCTCCTGGTTACCTGCTCAAAGAGTTGGGAGTGTTACACCAGCTCGTTCCTCAGTAAGAGCTGCACGCAGTCACGTCTGCTCCACTGCTCCCCGTACAAATGTTTCCTGAAACACCTGAAGGGCCGAGCTCACGCCGCTTTCTACTTAATGGAATTAAAAATGGAGTCTGAACAACAGCGAGGAGCGTTTCTATTTTTGAGAACACCGCCGACAGCAGGGACCTGACAGTCTGCAGAATTCAGATAAAGAAGTGGTCCTTCCACCGGGATGTTTCAGGTAAAGGTGGGATGGTGTGAGGTTCAGGGACATCACTCACATCACGCAGGAGAAGGTTTGTGTCGTTACTGTGGCTGATTATTGATCCCCTCACTGGTCACATGATCCATCCTCTAATTTAAAGCACACTGGGATCAATATCTCAGTTTGCCCTGTGACAGATGGCTGAAGCTGTTCATGTGATCAATGAGCCTCATCAGTCAAGACAGAAACACACCATCTGATGCCACGTAATCAATAACTGATCAACGAGGGAAAGCAGCTCTGTAATTTAAAAACAGCCACACTAACGTCGTCCACATGTGTGTAAACATAAGGAGGTCAGTCAGGTCGTTTATCGAGCCGTCACTGATCACGTGATTTCCGCTATAACCTGATCAGGACTTTCAGTTTGTGGAAACATCAAATGAAACTGCTGTTTGCACCTGAATGATGATCATCTGGTGGATGACTCGTGAGCCGAACCTAAATACTTACACTCAGGATTAAGAAACACGAACATTTACAGGTATCAGGTGTGTTAGCTGGCTAAAGCTTCCGCGAAATGTAAAACTAACAGGTTTTTGAATGAGGTTCGTCTCGTCTTTCTTTCCACGCGCGGTGTCTCTGATGTTAGATAAACACAGACTCCCTTCGGAGTCAGCTGACCACATGACTCTGGTACTACCTGGCTCTCAGGTGACTCTGTTCCAGCTGAGCAGGCGGACTCGTTTACGTGTCCAGCGAGTCCAACCAAACTCCGGTTCATCATTCTGAACACGAAGACTCCACTCATAGAGAAATCGGCTACAAACGGCATGTTTAAATCAGACATACTTTCAAATGTAACCTTACACGTACTCATACAAGTCGCAACAGCCCGTTACCGTTAAATAAAACACTAATTAAACCTCCATTTCTATTTTATGGATTGTTTGCTGGCCGAATGTTGAATAACAACCCAATAACTGGTACCTGACACAGATTATGTTTACACACTATTTATTTACTGCCTGTAGTCCTAAAAACTTTAAATTCACAGATTTGTGAATGAAGTTCGTCACTGTGTTCTGTTCTAGGCGACGACTCCAGAGAGGAGAGCAGATCGTTACCGGGCACGACGCCGTTCATTAACATTAACGTCCTTCTTCATGGAGGCAGAGCCGCTCTGTGCGGAGGAAACTCACCGGGTTTAACGTACATGTCCTCCATGCTGGAGTCCGGAGAGCAGCGGCGGGAAGCTGGGCTAAGCTAACCGGGAGGCTAATCCACCGAGCTAAACAGGGACCGAAGCTTCGGGGCAACTTTGGTCCAAATTAAACTTAAAGTAAACCGACACAGAGTCCTGCTGTGGACGGGACACGCCGGGCAGACTACACGGGGAACGGTTTCCGGTCCAGCTTCAAAATAAATGTTTCTTGAAACGTTTATTTATTTTATATTTTTCTAATAATATATTATAGCATTTACACAGACCAATATTAGAAAGGATATGCATTTTTATATGTATTTTTCTTGTTCAAGGAGAGATAGATGTGCAAAAACAGAGAAAACTCTTCTGTCACCACTGAATTATTGGAATAAAAATAAATTGCTGCATATAAAAATCATAATAACCTATGATAAAATAATAAAAATATAACATTTAACAATAATATTATACAATAACTGAGTTACTTAAGTGAGTAAATATACATGTTTTCTGATTATGACAAGCAAACAAAGAAACAAGATGATTTCTTAGAGTTAATAATTTATAAATAGTTAGTAAAAGCCCAGAAACTAGAAAATAAAATAAACGATTATAGTGTTGCGTTTAAACATGTTCTTACGTTTAATGTTAAGGCTTTTACTTTGAAAAGGAAATGGTTTTGTATCTATTTCTCGAGCTTCACGAACTCCCAGCATTACAAACATTTCCGGGACACGTGGCCGCTGTGTCACAGATATGATGACGTAGTGAGACACGCAGTGAGCCTGAAATAAAGAGAGAGCGAGACTGTAAACAAACTAATGAACCTGGATGCAGTCATTAGTTGATCTCTGGAGTATTTTATTGTGAAAGTCAAACTAATAACCGTGTAGCTGCTCCCGTTAGTGAAGTGAAAAGTGAAATTTGATCCAGGAAATAGAGGTTCAACTCCACAACTTTCTCACCTGAAGTTCCTCATCAGTTACAGTCTCTGTACTCGACCCCACCGACCTGTCACACCTGTGTCACACCTCTTAGAGCCACTGATAATTAATCATTTATAATCTTTCATTTCTCAGCAGATGATTTGAAAACAAACAAAATGAATTACCTGTCACCATATCTAACGGCCAAAGTGTTTCAGTTAGCAGTAATCACACTTCCTCGGAGTTCTGTCCTCGGTCCACTGCTCTTTAGCCTCTACATGCTCCCACTTGGTACAATCATAAAGAACCACAACATCTCCTGCTGTTCCGTGCAGATGATCTGATGATCTGCCCTCTGTCAGCTGCACTCATGACATTAACTGCTGGATGTCTAAAACCAGGCAGAGATACTTGTTCGTATTTACTCGTAGCCGAGTGTGAAACAGTGGGAATGAGAATCAGACCTCCAAATCTGAGGCACAGATGACTTCCTGCCAGACTGGAGGAGTATTTATCTCTGTCTCTCTTCCACAGCATGTCTTTATCCTGTCTTCCTTCTCTCACCCCAACCAATCGCAGCAGATGGCCCCGCCCCTCCCTGAGCCTGGTTCTGCTGGAGGTTTCTTCCTGTTAAAAGGGAGTTTTTCCTTCCCACTGTCGCCAAAGTGCTGCTCATAGGGGGTCATATGATTGTTGGGTTTTTCTCTGTATCTATTATTGTAGGGTCTACGTTACAATATGTGCCTCGAGTTGACTGTTTACCAAACATCGTGTGAACACCACCACAGTATAACACTGAGTTTTTTACAGTGAAGGGTGAGATAGGAGAGGGAGGGGAGTGATGACATCAGCAGGAGGAGGAGAGTCAGGGAGAGGGAGGACAGGGAGGAGAGGAGGACAAGCAGCATCGTTTATCAGGCAGAGAGGAGGGAGAGAGAGGGAGAGACAAACGCCGGGCAAGCACAAAGGAGGAGAAGAAGAAGACTGATGGTGTCGTCGGAGAGCGCGACAGCCGGAGGAACGAGAGACGCTGAGAAAGACTGACAGACAGAGAGAGAGAGAGGCGAACGGGAGACGTTAACGACCGTCCTCTGGGCCCGTGTGTGTGTGTGTGTGTTGGTGATCAGCTGATTGGAACACACGCATTGGAGGGCGGAGCCATGATGGGCAAGGACTACATGTTGGCCATCATTATAGTCAACTATGATGGTAAGACACACACAATCACACATACATGCAAACAGGGGTCCTGGTGATGCTGCTGCCTGACCAGGACCTGCTAACGTGTTTGTCCACACTGTAGCTGCAGCCTGTTAGCATAACCTCATGACCTCTGACCTTTTAGCTTCACTGCTCTGACTCATGATTCTAAACTTGTTAGCTTGTGTTCGTTGTGTTAGCATGTTGTCATGATTGAACCTTTGAGCTTTAGCTTCAGTCTTTGTCAGTACATGTGTGTAGCCAGCAGGTGCACCTTTCACACAGCATCCAGCTGCAGCAGATAACATCTGTCAGCACAGCCATCACTGTAGTTAAGCTGTCAAATGTATAAACAGAAATATTACTGGACGCAGAGATGGCTACACAGGTTCACAGATATTTAAGAACATTTGTTGTTGTTGTTATTTGGGGTCTGTTAGCATGATAGCATGTGTTAGCACTAGCCTACTAAAGTGGATTCACAGCTCTAGAGTTTGTTTGTGTGGCTCCACTGAAGCATTTGGATATATAACCTACATGCTCACTTTAAGTCTTCCAGCTAACCAACATACGAGTGCTGATTGGAGGAAAAGTAACAAATTAAGCAGAAATAGTCTTCAGTGTTTTTATTGTTAATGCAACCTTTTTTGTTAGCTACTGGCTAACTGCCTGAGCTTCTGGTGTTCGGGGTCCTCATTAGGCTCAAAAACACAGAGGGACACAACAAAGTCTAAAGAAGGACGGTGGTGTTTGTCCTCCATCACTCGTCTTTTAAAGGGTCTTTATGAGCTAAAGCGCCGCAGCAGTCGGTGCACAGGACGCTCAGGTCACAGCCTGTGAAGTCAGCTGTTTGTATCCAGGGCTGGATTAGACTCAGAGCTGCCATCCTGTCTCATGTGTGCAGCGTTGGGAAGGTTACTTTTGAAATGTATTCCACTACAGATTACAGATTAAAATAATCCAAAAAGTATTTTGTAACATATTCTGTTACTTTACTCAATGAGAGTAACTATTCTGATTACTTTGGATTACTCATTATATTATCATGCTGTTTACAACTACATGAATGAACTATTGCTGTGATTTATTACTGTTACTGAAGGTTACTCTCCATACCAACACAACTAGATGTTTAAATCTGAATATAAATGAGTAACAGTAGGTGGACATTAGGTAAGGCTGCACTTTCTGCAGTGATCTCGTGTAGAAAACTATTCTGCGCGTATATAAAACAGGTCCGCGGCTCTGAACCGTAGTAAAGGGACCTCTGGCTAATACGTCGGGTTCGTGTCGGCTCGTAGCTGAAAACTAGCTTTACTTTGTTGTCTGGGTCGACTTTGCTAGCGTATCTCATTCGTTGTTACTGTCTCAGTCCTCCATCAGCCCTGAACCAGCAGAAGCTCAACGCTCAGCTTCAACATGAACATTTATGAGACAAACCTCTGAGTTCATGCTCAGCAGGTGTCTCTCTCTGTTTGGGGAAACAGACTAAAGTAAAGGTTTGGATGAGTGTGACTTTAAACTTTCATCTTAATCTGAAACACGTGTGATTATATACCAGGAATATTAAACGCCCACATGACTGACTGTAAGCGTCTCTGTGTCTGTGTATAAACTCCCAATCACAGCTAACTGCTGTCTAACGCTGCCGTGGGAACGACTTTCAGGCTGTAGCTTGGCTGGTCAGCAGCCTGGCCCCGCCTCCCCGTCTCAGGCTGATCGTATCCTTGTCTTTTAATCAGCCCATTCAGCGTCTCGTGTCTCGGAGCTCTTATTAATTATTCACAGCTTCTCCGGTTTCCTCTCTTCCTCTAACGCAGAGTGACCTCCGATCACCGTCGGCCTCTCCTGTTGTAGCTTTTACAGATACATCAGGAATAAAACAGGAACATTCGGCGCTCAGAGAGTCAGCAGTGTGTTAGCAGAGCAGCAGGACTGAAGGACACAAGGTGGTGGACGTGTCCGTGCTCGGGGACAGCTCATAGAAACATACAAACTTCAGGCTCAGGATTCTCCAGAATGACCCAGGAGCCTGCAGGAACCAGAGAAGCAGCTCGTTCAGAATCTGCCTGAGAAAACGTTTCAGATCCACGGACGCACATCTGAACATCGGTGCAGAGAGCAGCCAATCACAGAGCGTTCAGCTGCCTGTAAAAGGACGCTTTCAATAACCGTGAGCTGCTAAATGTATCTATACATAAATGCAACAGCTCACTTTATTAAAATGATTATAAGTGCCGCTGCTTTAAGTGAACAGATGCAGTTGTGATGTGTCAGCGCTGACTGAGCGTGCATGGACGTGTCCTCTGCAGAGGACAGCAGTGCTGATGCCCCGAGATCGATGCCTGATCTGATGATGGGCAGAGCGGGGCTTTAACCCCGTAAGACCCGAACTCTTCCACTGCAGCATTTTTGATTTCTCTTTGATATTTGGGCTGATCGGGACCCGATGAATGTAAAAACAAAGAATTACCTGATTTTATTTTTACCTGATTTTTGTTTTTAAGAAAAATGAGAGCCACATATGAGAATATTTGTTTAAAATTTCGATAGAACAGGAGCAACATAATGTCCTCGTAAGTGGACATCAGGCCCTTGTAGAGCAAAATTGAGTACTTTGGTCTAAATAACCCAAAATGTGACGTCCACACATGTGGACGCAGGTCCTGGGAGGTGAAAGCAGCTGTGAGGTGATGGATGTCTGAGCTCAGTTTGTGGACTCAAAGCTGGAGCCGACAGTGAACGCAGCATGTTTCAGATACAGCTGCACACAAAATGAATGTTTGACTGAACTCTGCACATCTGAAAGAAGTTTGACAACACGATTAGAGATGAGTGCAGTAATGGGATTACTTTGGCTAGTGCTTTATTTGAACCCTGACTCGCATT